TTAACATATGATTGTGGGTTGCATATTGGATTATTACATTATTTATGTTCTTTTGTTAAAGGTAACAACTAAGGGAAAGGGATTGTATATAATTAAAAAGAAAAAAAGAAAAACATGAAAAAAAAAGAAAAAGAAAAAGAAAAAAAAATGATGATAATAAAAATGTAGATAAGTTTGGTTTCGTAGCCTCCCTAACCTAAGCAATTAAGTCCGAAGGGGTGTTTTAACACCTAATACCCTAAAGTCAACTGACTTGGGAGCTATTGGCCCAACGCTTGTTACATGGGTTGAGGAGAAAAGCTTAAGGGAATCAAACATTGCACTATCTACATATCAGTATCTGCGACCCGAGTTACTAAGCTCGTAGGGGTGTCTTAACACCTAATGCCCTAAGACCAACTGGTCTGGGAGTCATTAGCTGAAAGCTCGTTACATGGGTTAAAGATGCATGATGTTTTTAAAGTATATGTATATAGAGTTAAAAAAAAAAAAGACAAAAATAGTAATCCCAACCCAAGGAAGTTAACCTTAAACATTAGAACAAAAATTTTGTTTTCTTCCAAGAAAAGCCCCATAATTATGTGTTGATACATTGAGCACAAAAGAAAGGTTTATTAATATCTTGTTAAGAGGTATTGAGCAGATATATAAATTTAATGAGAGTTTGTTTATCTGGATAGATTAATGGAAGTTAAATGATGAATACCTTGCTTTGTGGAATTTGCAAATTGTTTTTCTATTTTACGCTTTGATTACTAGGGACTAGTAATAAGCTGGTTGGGGGGTGTGATTAGTACTTAAAAGTGCATTTTTATCATGGTTTTATATCATCATTTTGCACTTGAAGTATCAATAACTCCTTAACTAAAATATGTTTTATAATAATGTATCTAATAATATAAGATACCTTTAATTTGTGGTAAATGTCTATTTTTAATGCAGGTCTATCACATAAATGAAAGGATTGATTGATGACTTGAAGAACTTAAATTGCATGGATAAAGAGATGGTCAAACTTAGAGAAGAGATGTCGGTGCAATCCAAACCGGAACACTGTTCGGTAATTGGGTCATATCTAGAGCTATATATCTCAGATTTAGGTCCAATTTATATGGATGGAAAGGTAAGACATAGGCCTACAACTTTCATATGGAGCCCAAGATCTAAAAAGGCCATTATCAAGTCCAAATTGTAGAAACAACAAAGAAGCCCGAATCTGTCTTCCAGCCCGAGCACTGTTCGGTATTTTGGCCATATCTGGAGTTCTAGAAGTCCAAATGAGCTGAATTTTTTACACAAGAAAGCTGAGACAATTGCCTACAACTTTCATGTTTGCAACTGGCTCCAGTTTTGACGTTATCAATGACGTTTTGGGCAGACAAGAGAAGATAAGGATTGTCACCAAGTCAAAAGTTGGCCACCCACTTATCAATTAGTCATCAAATTAATAGTTCCCAATTTTGGCCTATAAAAGGAGGCATTTGCCATGCATTTAGGCATCTTGGTGTTCAGATCAAGATCATGCTCTTCCTTTCTCTCTTTGTATTTTTTATGCTTTGTTTTCATTAATATTAAGTTTATGCCTTTCATTTCCTTTCCTTTACTTAGTTAACTTTTATGTTCTTATTTTGTTTATCTATTTTGCTTTCTTTCATTATGTCTAGCTAAGTTAGTTATGTCAAGGTGAAAAGGTTACACTAATGGTGTAAGAATAAGTATAATGTAAACTTAATATGGACTTTAATGTTTGATACTAACATGTTTTATATTTGTTATCTTGTTTACTCTTTAATACTTTGCTTGTTAAATGATTAATCTTGATTTATGTTGTATAACACTTGGTACAACAAATGCTTGGCACTTTCATAGCCCATACTGTATGGTATAACCGACACTTGAGCTATGAAAGGAACTTGATTTGTTGTTAACATAAGTTATAATCATGAATGCTTGACGAGATTTACGAGTATTAGCATTAATTGAATAAGATGGCTAATGTAATCATGTTAACAATCTATAATCTGATTGGAACCTCCTTTGTGTGTGGTTTCCAATTGAATAATAAGAGTTTATACTATACTTGTTTGACATACCATTAGTGGATCCTCTAACCTTGACATTGTTTGTTATCATTGTTTAATCCTTACGTTAATTTTCCATCTCAAAGTTTTCATCAACTTTTCTTCTTCTTCTTTTTCTTTTTCTTTATTACTACTACTACTACTACTACTACTATTATTATTAGTATTATTATTGCTACTATTATTATTGTTGTTGTTATTGTTACTATTGTTGTTGTTTATAATTGTTGTTTATAATTTGTATAATTAACCTCCCTATGGTTCGACCCCGGTCTTGCCGGGTTATTTATTACTTCGACATCCTGCACTTGGAAAAAGACATCAATCTTTTAGTCGTGTCAACGTGAATAGTTGAGGCATAGCAAGAATGAAGTAGGAGAAAGAAGAAAGGGAGAAGGGCTGACCTGTAGTAGCTGTGACTGTTGGCTATGCTACTAGAGGCGACAGATAGCGGCGCTGGTGGCTGGTGGTGCTGTTTCTCTTCTCTCTCTCGCTCCTCTGTTTTATGTTCGCCTTCTGCTTGTCTCCTCTTCTTTTTTTCGGCTTCCCCCCTCTCTTTTCTCTTCTTTTCTCTCCTTTACTCCGTGTTCTTGGTCTCTCCCTTTCTTGGTCTGTTTTTTGTTTTACCCCTTATTTTTATAGGCAAAACCAGGGGGGATGTGGTTGAGGTGGTCACTGTGCTGCCGCCCATCCAACACATGTAAAGTCGTCGGCAGGTCGGTATCTTTTTGAAAGGGAAGAAGGCGGTGACAGAGAAAAAAAAACAATCGTTTTCTTTCCTTGTTTCAACATGTCCAGGGAAAAAAAGATGACAATGCCGTTCAAAATGGCACCGTTTTGAGTTTTTTCTTTTTGAAAAAAAAAAGTGCAGGAAACGGTGCCGTTCTAGTCAAAATGCACCGTTTCATTTAAATGAAAAGATGGCAAAATATGTTAACTTTCACATTGGTCCTCAATTTATAATTTGTTCAATCAAGTTTTCAACTGTAATTTTAATTTAAAATCAATGCAATTGCATCCCTACTAAAAATACAACAGCGGCCTTGAAGTTGGCTGCATTTTCACTTTGGTCCTTGGTCTTGAATTAGTGTAATTTGACCTTCAATTAAGTAATAAACTTTTAATTTCTTCAATTAGGCCCTGATCCGGTTTTAATTACAGCTGCTCTACTTACACGTCTTTTCCATTTTGGTCCTTAGTTTCAATTTCTTCAATTAAGTATCTAATTGCCATCAAACATCAATATTTATGCAATTAAGCCCCTAATTTCACCAAATTAACTTTCAAAAATTATAATTTGATCCCAGAATTTTAATTTCTTTCAATTAAAGCCTAAATTGATTCCAAAATCAATTTTTCTTGCAATTAAACTCTCCATAAATTCAATTAAATCCTTAATAAAATTTAATTGAGTCCATAAATATCTAATTTTAGATTTGTTTTACTCAAATTGAATTTTCTTTGTCAATAGAGCTGTCATCAATCAATAAAATACTATCAAATTTTAATTGTTGTATTTTTTAACCTTTTCAATCAATTTTTAATCATTTGTACGACACATTGATATTCTTTGTTCACTGTTTATATTTTTTATATTTTCTTATTTTAAAAAAATAAATAAATATAAATCAGGAATAACTCAAAAATAAGTTATAACACAATCAATTGAGGTTTTGATTAATTTCAGTTTTATCCTTAGCTTCCATGAAATGTTTCCTTTGATAAGTATAATCTCTCTCAACCAACAACAGATAGCGATAACATCATGATCTAGCAAACCAAAGCTTTATTCCAATATTGGACAGGTAATCTAAAATTTGTATCAGTACTTCTACCATTCCATTATAACAAACGTGAACACACAACAATTGCATATGGAGGGTTTAATAACACACTCCATAGCTCGTGGAGGGTTACAGATGTGATAGGTCTAGTATGGAACTGAGATGAAACGCCATAGCACATGGAGGATTACTGATGTGATGGGTCTAGTATGGAACTAAAAGACGGTGAAATTTTCCCAACGGTGATACGCGGTGCTCTCATCTAGTAGGCCTGGTTCAATGCATTTCCACGTAGTATTTATGACCAGTAACAACCTAATCTGGAAACAAGGGGCAACGATTTTATATCCATGGCCCATGCACCTTATCTATGCAATAAATTTACATACAAAGGATCAATGCACATTTATTGTAAAAGAAAAGGGCGAGGGCTGCTTGGTAGACGTGATTACATAATCTATAAACTAACTTAATTAATATAAGATATAAATAAAATATATTGCTTCTCACATGACGATACGAGCATTTTACATGATCTTATGGATGCATTTTGTATTTATTGTCGTAGTTCATTGGTGATACGATAAGCTAAGTGTATATTAGAAAATGTGTTTTTTTGATTTTTTTTTATTGAACATACATTAAAATAATATTTTATATTTTTTATAGTATTTAGAAATAGCACATAAAAACCATAAAAAAACATCTAAATATATTTTAATGTTTTACCAAGAGAAAAACAGATTAAAAATCCCTCTAAAAAATAGCTTAATAAACCACAAAAAACAAACACTCCAAGTCTATCTAATAATTTATGGTCCATAAGACATGTATTAAACATTATTTTAGAACTTAATCCTGTTTCATTGTACGAAGGGACCATGTTCAACCCTTCAAGGTAAGTGAATTTAAAGTAAATTCGTGACAAGCTATTTGCTTGTCCTTTATAGCTTTTAGTTTAGGTCCGTCCATCAATTGAAATGTGATACAATTACTCTGATTAATTCACTTTTAATTCATAGGGACTGAATTGAACAAACTTTTCATATTTAGATACTCCATTACCAAACCAATTTTAGGAGGTTCACTAAAAATAAACCATTTCATTCGATCTTGCAACTCTGTGCCCTGACAATTTGAACATTTTCAACTGGCACACATGGCAAGTTGTATGATGATCTTCAGGGAATTTACTTTTTGGCATCTATTCCACATTTTGGTAGCAGTCTGGGCAATCTGGTTGGCCGCTGCACTAAATATTTCTTATTTACTGAAACCGTTGCAGTCAAAATGAGAAGACCTCGGTTTCTGCATTTGGTAGCAGCTTTTTTATCCATCATTTTTTCTTTAACTGTTAATACACATAGCTTCCTCCCACCGACACAGATATGCCAGTTGGCCTTCTTCTCCTTCTTATATTAATTGCATCTTAGAGAGTGTCTACACAGACATATTGAAATCTTCTCAGGTTAAACGCCCCCGGCGCTTTCCATTTCTATTTCAGCCAAAACATGAACTCCTCTAGTTCACTAGCATCTTTTGCAAAAAGGTAACAAGCTACTTGCTCTCACTAGTAAATATTCTTGTGCTTTAATTCCTTCACCCGAAATAGAAATCAATGCCACTAAATTAATTTTTGTTGCAGGTTAGCTGGTAAAGTGGCAATTATCACTGGAGGTGCTAGCGGGATTGGTGAGAGCACCTCTAGACTATTTGTTGAGCATGGAGCGAAGGTCATTATAGCTGATGTCCAGGATCAAGTAGGTCAATCCCTTTGTAAAGAACTTCTCACGGAAGACAATGTTTGCTATGTGCATTGTGATGTCACTAGTGATACCGATGTCAAAAATGTTGTCGATGTTGCCATATCCAAGTATGGGAAGCTAGACATCATGCACAACAACGCTGGCATTACTGGCAATATAGATCCAACAATATTAGGCACCGACAATGAAGATTTTAAAAGGGTATTTGAAGTTAATGTGTATGGTGGTTTCTTGGGTGCAAAGCATGCTGCTAGAGTTATGATTCCTGTGAAAAAAGGCGTTATTCTTTTCACATCTAGCGTGGCTTCAGTGGCATGTGGTGAGTCGCCTCATGCTTATACAATGTCGAAGCATGCGGTGGTGGGGCTAATGAAGAATTTGTGCGTGGAACTAGGGCAATATGGAATAAGGGTTAACTGCATTTCTCCTTGTGCTCTTGCTACTCCACTGCTAAGAAATGCAATGGGAGCGGATAAAAGTTTTGTGGAGCATGTAGTTTGTGAATCTGCCAATCTGAAAGGAGTGGTGCCGTCACCCAAAGATGTGGCGGAGGCTGCCTTGTATTTAGGTAGCGATGAGTCCAAGTATGTGAGTGGACTAAATCTCATGGTTGATGGGGGATACAGCACCACTAACCAGTCCTTCAATATGGTATTAAGGAATATATTGTCCTGATTCAAAAGTTGTTCAAGATGATCAAGAGTCCGACTTCAGGACATCTAGCTGCGTGCAATATAATAAAATCTTCTCTCATCGGAATGTATTACAATTTTATAGTCTCCGTAACTGTATCTCCTTTTTTCCAGTAGCGAATCCAGCAACTTTTAACTAGGATAAATTTCTTTCATATATGAAATAAAATTTTAGTGAACCGACAAAATATATGGACGTTTTGTATGCGTTAATTGTTTGTAATTAAGAATCCATTGATCACACATGGATGTTTTTCTCTGTTTTTTTTTTTTCATTTTGACATGACTAACAATAGCATATAGTTGAAAATAATTAGAAGATTTAACTTATTGATTAGCTAACATTTTTTATATATATGTATAGGGTAATATATAATAGTAATGGTGAAGATTACAATATAAGAATATTCCTATAATATTTTCTATATAGGTATATTATATAATATGCCCCTCAAGCTGAGGGTGGATGATCAACCCGAAACTTGAAACGAAAAGTAGTAAATAAAGCAGTAGTATGTGACTTAGTAAAGGCACTTGTAAGCTAATCCTAAGAGGAAATAAAACTAATTTGAATCTTCTTTTTTACAACTCTATCTCGGACAAAATGATAATTATCCTCAACATATTTTGTGCAAGCATAAAAAATAGGATTCATAGACAAATAAATGGCACCAAGGTTTTCACACCAAATGGTAGGAGCAGAAACAGACATAATCTGAAGATCTGTTAATAAATATTGAAGTCAGATAACCTTGGTTATGCCATTAGCTAAGGCTTTGTACTCAACTTCAGTAGAAGAGCGAGCAATTATACATTGCTTACTTGATTTCCATGAAATTAGCATCAAACCAAAGAACACAAGATAAACCACCTGTAAATTTTCTATCATCAATACCACCTACCTAATCTGTATCTATAAAGTCATGTAAGGCAAAGGAAGAACTACGAGTAATATGGAGGCTGTGTGTTGTCATACCCTTAAGATAACATAAGATGCGTTTAATAGTAGCCTAATGAGAATCTGTAGAAGTATGCATAAACTAACAAACTTTGTTAACAAAAAAACAAATATCTGAACTCGTAAAAGTGAGATATTAAAGAGCACTCATAATTTAACGAAAGCATGTAGCATCAAAAAAATAAAAGATCTAGCAGCATAATAGTTTGGATGTCGAGATAAAAGTATTAACAGGTTTGTAAAATAACAAAACAGTCTGAGTGAGGATGTCAACTGTTTATTTATGTTGTCGGAGCGTAAAACTCATACCGGTAGGTGTAACTTAATACACAAGAAATAATAAAAAGTATCCAAGTCGTGAAGCTTAAATTCTGAGCTCAGTAGTTGTATCAGGTGTTGAAGTAGAAGGGAGTTGCTGCTTGTAAGCAAAATATCATCAACATAGACTAGAAAATACCAAATATCAGCATCAATAGAGAAGATAAATAATAAGGTATCCATCTTAGAGACACGAAAACTAATAGATAGTATGAAATCATTCAGATGAGTGTACTAAGCCTGCAGAGCTTGTTTAAAACCATATAAAGACTTATGCAATCAACACACATGAAAAGGGAGAGAAGAGTTAACAAAACCTGGAGGTTGTTTCATACAGACCTCCTCATTAAGAACACCATTAAGAAAGACATTATAGATATCAAACTAATGAATTTTCTAATCACACAAAGTGATAAAGAAAAAGACTAATTAGGAGGTTGTTTGTTTGATAATAGGACTAAAGGTTTCAAAGTAATCAATACCTTCTTACTAAATGAAACCTTTAGTAAATAGATATGCCTTATACCTCTCAATGCTGCTATTAAATTGACGTTTAACAATGTATATCCACCGACTACCAACAACATTCATCGAAGGGTGAAACAACACTAAAATCCAAGTTTTGTTAGTGCATAAGGCCTGAATTTCCTCGGATATAACACTATGACATGCCTTATACCTATTGGCATCATTAAAAACAAGTGGCTCATGAGTAGGAAGAGAAACTACCTAACTAAAGAAGGCAATAAAGACAGTGGTAGTTGCTGTGGATAGTGTTGTATTTGGCTGTTTAGGACAGAGAACCATAGGATGTTGGCAAATAGCTAGACGTGAAGAAAGAAGAGCCTCTATTTCGAAGTTGCTTAAGAGGATATGAGGAGAGGTTTACATAAATAGTAGCCTAATTTGAGAGAAGGTGGAGGGATTGGTCTATGCAGAAAACACCAGCGAATTTGCTATAAAACTGGGTTGTTCTGCAGTAGTAGACCTAAAGGCAAGAGCATTAGGCAATGAAGAACCTGTTCTTGTATAATGATCATTAGAAAAACAAGCACTAGTGATAGTATGATAGGGCTGGATAGGGATGAGGTTGATGCAGAATCTATAGGCAAGTGAAGGGTCTATTGGGCCGTGGTAGAGGGCAGAATAGGGGTGTTGTTTGGGTTAGTTGGTAAAGTGGTAGGCTAAAACATTTGGGAAAGATTTAAGGCTGGAAGGTGTATAGGATGTGTGGAGAGTATTGGTGAATATATTATCTATTCAGCATTCATAAAAAGAAAGATATTTTCATGAAAACAAACATAACGGGAAATATAAATACGATGAGATGCTAAATCATAACAATGATAACCAAGATGAGATGAGCTATATCCTAAGAATACACGTGAAGAAGAACAAAAATCCAATTTATAGGCATGGTATGGATGCAATAAGAAATACCAAAGACACCTAAAAGTACATACAAAATTATAATCAGGAGTACGACGAAACAAACACTCAAACAAAGATTTATTTTGGAGAAAAAGAGTAGGTATGTGATTAATAAGATATACCGATGATTTAAAAGCATAGTTTCAAAATCGCAATGGTGCATTACACTAACTTAAAAGGGTTAGGCCAGTTTCAACAGTATATTAGTGACGGCGCTTAGCAGTTTCGTTTTGTTCATAAGTATAAGGATACATTAACCAATGTTGAATATTAATAGTCTGAAAGAATTTATTTAACTTACGATATTCATCATCCAATCAATTTGAACAAATTTAATTTCAAGTGAAAACTAATGCTCAACAAGTGTTTAAAAATGTTGAAAAATAGAAAACACATCAGATTTGTCAATAAGTGGATAATACCATATATGTTTGGTATCCGCATCAACAAATATAACAAAGCAAACAGAAGCCATCGAAAAAAAATATAAAAGCACGACCTTAAACATCACTAAATGTTAAATCAAGTGGGGCAGTAGTTTGTGACCCATAGGTTGTAATGATAGACACGACGACTTACCCAAAGGACTAGCTTGACACTGAGCAAGAGAATGTCTAGAAGTACATATGATTTTATTGCTAAAAACAAACAAATTTAAAATGTAAGGGGTTGGATGACCCAAACAACGACGCCACAAGTCGACAGTCGCGGAGATGCAAGAGACCAAGAAACTTGAGGAATTGACATGGTAGAAGACTCGGAGAGGACATAAAGATTATCATCACTTTGACTGAAAAGGAGAACTTTCTTAGTGATGAGATCCTTGACATAAAACATAAAAGCATGAAATTCAAAATAAACATGATTATCATGATAGAATTTTTGAATAAATAACAACAGTTTGGTAATACGAGGCAAATTGACAACATTAGATAATGTAAAAATGCATTTTAGGAATTGTAATGTAATATGTTCAATGTGTGATATATCAAGGCCCTTACCATCACTAATATGCAAATAATCATTACCAACATAGAGTGTAAAATCGGTTAAAGCTGCAATATCAAGTGTGATGTGTTGATTCATGTTGGTGTCGAGGAACCAAGTCGCGACAGAAACATTCCCAATAACAAGGTGGATAGAGGGTTGTTGGGTACTGTTGTGAAACTAGGGACAATGAGTTGTGTGACTGAAACTGGAGCATAATTAGAAGGACATGCTGTTGTCCAAACCATGAGCCAACCTCTTTGTTGCCCCTATTTTGCTACCAATTATTTGGCCACCAGTCTACAGTAAATTGGCTCTATTATGGTAAGTGTAACAGTTGTTGTTAGGATGCCAATTACCATGAGAATGACCCTTGTTACAATTGAAGTTTGAGCTATGATGAGACATAGTAAGATGAGTAGAGGGTTGTAGTATTGACAGCAGTAGTGGCTATAATAGCAGAGATGAAAGCAGTAGAGAAGTGGTGGCATCCATAGACTAAAGAGAGTTCTTGTATAGAAATTCATGGGTAAGAAAACAGTTGTGTAAATCAGCATACGACAATGATTTTTCCTTGGTTATAAGGCTCACTACCAAGTCTTTTAACTCATCACGAAGGCCATAATATATATATATTAAAGTCTTCAAGAGTGGGGCTAGCAGCAATAGCCAATTCATCAAATAATGATCTGGCTTATTACATGTAAATAATTACCAATGAGTGCCTTAGTCGAAGATCTTGGAAGGAACCATAAAGTTGCATGATGTGAGAATTAGACGGAGACCCAACGACTTTCTCTAAAGTGAACCAAACATAGTGCGAGGCATAACAATCATTGGTAATTATTGCAGGCAAAATAAGTTGATCATGTTGCTTCCAACGAAGAAAAGAAAGGCTAATTATAGAAAGATATGAGAGTATTGCAGACAAAATAAGTTGATCATGTTGCTTCCAACGAAGAAAAGAAAGGCTAATTATAAAGCAAAAACCAACAGAAGTGTTAAAAACATGAGATAGAGGACACGACATTGAGCCGTTAACGAAATGAAAAACACCTTGACCAACAAATAAGGCTTCATCTACACTCGCCAATACAGATAATTTGTGTTTGTAAGTTTTTTTTTTAAATAACTTGTTGGGTGTTTGATAGAGCAACAATAGTTGAAGTTTATGTTCCCATAATGCACAGAGGGATGATAAAAACATGCGAGGAGTCAAAGATGTGCTCTACAAGTTTAGGCTACTATTGTGGAGGAAGGACACCACTAACAATAGCTTATAAATGGCTGGTTGGCTGGGTTGCACCATCGGTAGTGAGGGAGAAGTTGGCAATAACAATAGTAGAATCCATTTAAAAAAAGTAGAGAGAAGATCGAATGCAAGATAAGTTTTTCCCCTTTCTCATCAAACTTGTCTCTTCTTTGAGAAGGAATAAGAGCATAAGCAATACTCCCAAAAAC